GGCACACACCTGTGCCTGCGATCTGCTAGACGCCACCCCCATAGTGCCTTTTGCTTGCCTTCTAGGTCCCTTGAGGAATCTCTCTCTCTTTAAACACTCGTGGCCCTCATGCACTTCATCTTATGGGGTACATTTATTCTGCCCAGGACAGCGGACTCACATCTCCACCACAGACACAGGGCCTTCCAAAGGACACAGAGCCCCTGAATCATGGGGGTCAAGGAGGCTGTGGACAGATGAGCTTCTTTATTGACTTAGAATGTCCTCATATTATTGAATAAATAAGACATGCTCGTATAAATATGCAATTTAATTGTAAAACAACACAAAAAAGAAACAAAGTACTGATTTTCATCCTTATATCATTTTCTCGCTCCCATTTAACTTAATATAATCTTCTTCCTCATTTCCATGGAAATTCCTATTCCAATACTCTAGTATCTACTTCAAAATAAAATTAAACCTTCCCAAGTTGGTTTTACAACACAGCAGTCTTACACATCACATAGAAGAACAAAATTCCTGTATGGTGAATATCACACAAAATCAAATTCACTTCAGATATTACAATAAATCATCAATACTACAAAAGTGAAAATACATATGAAAACCATATCATTATTCAATTTAGATGTGCAAGTTATACCAAATGTGTGAAAAGGAATAAGACTTCAAAAAATCAAAAAGAGGAGCAGGGACACAGCCCAGCCAGACAGAGCCTTCCTGGAAAATTTGAGGTCCTGAGTACCCAAAAAAACAAACAAAATATTGTAAAAGACATGCCACCATTAGACATGCTGGTTCACACCTGTAATCCCAGCACAGAGGAGGCTGAGACAGGAGGATCAACATGAGTTTGAAGTCAGCCTTGACTACACAGTGAATTCAAGTTTAAACTGTACTACACAGGAAGATTTTGCCTCAAACTCCCCCAAAATCGATACTACCCTCCATCAAAAATAAAAAGACATATCAGTTTCAAATAACCCAAATAGAACAGGCATTGAGATGGTATGCTGAGTACTTATTCACTCCAATATCTCTTCACTACTTAGAAAAATGTGTGCAGTCCAAAAAATAAAAAAAAGAAAAAGAAAAGGAAAGAAAGGGACTTATTTCACATGTGATGGGAGCTAAGATAGGTGATTACAAACATTGGTGCCTGGCATCAGCCTTGCTCCTTTACTGGCCTGTATTTGATGCATGGGCAGCCTCTTGCTCCTGTCCCAAAGCGTCTGCATAGAGACGTGGGTAGGAACTGGGTTCTTTCCTATCAACCTTTGCCAAATGCTGCAGGACTTTCATCTTGGTGGTTTCAGCATGAGCCCTTGGACCCCACAGGAACTCATAACGAGCAGGATCACTGTTGGCCACCTGTCGGTACTCTAGATATCCTTCCTGTACCAATTGCTCAGTGATGAATTTCCAGGGCTCCCTAAGAATAAAGTGATCTATCTGAGCTAGCATTTTCCTTTTTCTTAGGAATTCCTTGATGTCATCCTCACTGGCACAGTTACCTTTCACGAAGATGATAGTCAGGATGACTACCAAGAAATCTACTTTGGAAAGACACTGGTAATTATCACTGAGTATTCCACTGTAAGTGAGGCCCAAGAGAGGCAAGAGGGCATAAGTGTGGCTCATGGGGTCCACTTCCCTCATATCAATGCCGAAGGTCAGACACATGGTTTCACAGAGTGTCGTGAATACTGGTGTTTGATTGTTAATATAATCAGGGCCCAAAATGTGTAGTATTTCTGCTTCAGTGATTGTCTCTTGCATCTGATACTTCTGGAGCAAGATTGTCAACACTCTAGCTATTCTATCATCTAGGAACGCATAGGAGAAGAACTGAATGCGTACCACATGCAAGGCAATGCCTATATCCTCTTCTTCCCTCCTGGAATTCTCACTAGATTGGCTCACTTGGCTGGAGGCCATGGAAGTGGTGAACAGAATTTTCCCTGAGGATTCCTGGGACAGCTTGGTGCCCTAGTCCAAGGCACCTCCCTTGCTGTACCAGAAATTGGAACCCGGAGAAAGAGGAGCCTGAGGAAGCAGTGGCTGCTACTTCCTCTCTCACAGGCTTCAAAACCTGCACACCTGCCAGGCTCTGTCCCCTCTTTGCATAAGATGTCCTCCCTCTAACTTGTTGTACTCTTTCCTCTGACCATGAAGAAGCTCCGTGGTTCCTTGGGGATAGCGATTCAGATGCCTGGAGGAGAGAGGAAGATTGTAAGTGTTCCTTCATGACAAAAATCACTCTTGTTAGGTTCCTCTAAGGCCCTTTTCTTTGGTCACTGGTTTCTGTCCTTCTAGAGGCACTTTCAACAAGAATCTGGGACAGAAACACAGATTGCTCTCCAGGTTGCAGCTGAATTGCAGAAGACAGACTCTAGGGTATAGCATGGGACTGTTGGGACTGGGCAGAAAGATTCACATCTGTCCTCATGCACCTGGAGGCCTAGTACATATTCAAGGAATGCACCTTACTTTTATCTCTGGACCTCCTGTGCTATGTTACCTGTGGTCATCCCTTCAGACCAAGACTTTCCCTGCCTGGTTCCTGGAGCTCCTACAAGGGGCATGAAAGGCCCCTTAGGCTGCAGACCAGAAACACAATTCTGGTCATCCAGCTCTTACAGGGTAGAGTAAGTTGGATATTCTCATGTCCATTGTGTAAGGTGAGTGATCTCCTCTCCACTCATTCAGGGCCCTCCACACTCCTTGAGCACGACTTGAACCCCAGCCTTTGTTGGCTGGTGGCAAACTCCCAGAAAGTGTCTTTTTCTCTCATAGGGAATAAAAGGCACTAAGAGAGACAAACATGTAGGCACTACTGCTTAAGGGCCACAGTTGGAGGTAGAAAACCACACTTGGATTCCAGCTTTCATCTCAATGAGAGCAATGATGCCAGACAAACAGAGCTCACTCAGCCTGGTAGACTTGCCCTTCCTCCTGGCAAAGTCAGGTAT